TAAACAATAAAGTATGGAAAAGAATTGATGGCGTGTACTCATACGTATTTTGCTAAAAATGTTCACCGCATATCTTAAATTTACAGTAAATTACAGTAATTTACAGTAATTTTACAGTATTTTTTTACAGTGAAATTAGTTGACAATGGCCGATTTTGTTGGGAGAAATCCGAGATTGACATTGTTATTGAACGTACCAGCGTGAATAATTTAATATTTCGTCAAACAGGCTATCGCACTGTCACCAGTCTATCAAATCCGGCCAAAATGGTTTTTTTTTTTCTTTGAATTAAAAATAAGTTTAAAACAAACCATATCTGTCTTGCAAATTAGCCACATGACTGTTCAGAACATGGCGGATAGGAGACTGTACTGATGATTCCCACTTCTACCCGCATACATTGCTCAATCTCTGTTTACAGCTAAGGGATGAAACACAGAATAACTACGTCGTAAAATGTCCACCGGTACATGTTACTTAAGACCATTTCATCTATTTTTACTGCTTCGTAGTCAATGGAATAGCCTGTACAAATTATGTTACAGAAATGGAGTATGATGGAAAAGCCGGAAGTCAGTGATTCGTTATATGTACCGGCTGGGCAATTTTCATTTTGCATTCCGCATGCTGGTCTCTACAAAGTTACACTGGATGCTTGTCACAAATTTGACAAGCCATTCTATGAACTAAGGATACCCCAGGATGTCCCGCTTGCGGCCAGTGCTACGAAATTCATGATTTCTGCTTCAGTTGAACTAAACCCTGAGGATTTGGCGTTTGATGATATGGAATTGCTCATTAAATCGTATTCCGATGAACAGACAGTCCCGGTATGTTTTTGTTTTTGTTTTTTTTTTTTTTTAAATTTCTGAGTGTTTTGTTTGTGTTTTGAATTATCTTTAATCCAGTCAGAGAAAAATTCAAAAGATAGGTCGTATAGATTAAAATAATTTTTTTTCCAAAAAGTTTTTCCACGAATTTTTTTCCAAATTATCCAAAAAAATTTTTTTCAAGTTATGCTTGAAAAATTTGGCTATTAGTTATAGTTTTATTTTCCAGCATTGTTTTGTTTACCCTGACCTTTTTGATACACTCTTTGATGGTTTTTTTTGCTCCTGGAAGGGAAACCAGTTTAGCGGGTTTCCAGAGAGAAGTACTTGATTAGGGCTTAGCTATCCGAGATGTTGTTGGTGTGTATTGAGCATCACTATCTCGTCCTAAAAGTTGCCAGTCCTGAGTTTTTATATTGAGAAATCTAAGCGATCCAGAGTCTCAAGCTACTCAAATAGTAGTTGAGCTGCTCGAACGGGATGAGTTGGTTTTTAAATTAAGCCCTCGAATTATTTGTTAATTTTAGTATATAATGGATCACGTTCTTTTTTTTGCGACAAAGCAGAAGATGAAATTTTTCGAATTGTTTTGCATGAAAAAAACTTCAGTTGATAAATTTTCTGCGTCCTTTATGCGAATTTTTGATTGGGCTTTATATTCCCTTGATAACAGTTCTGGACTTGAGTTGTTAACCTTCTGGTTAATGATATTATGAATTTTTAGATAATCAAAATATTCCAAATATAAGGCGATTAATCGGATAAGGGAAAAAGGGTGGGAAGGGGGGAGGACTGCGCAGGAGGATAAAGTGGGGGAAAAAATTGATTATTAGGGGAAAAAAACCTGGTATTGTGTTTTTCTTCCTTTTTGTTCATTTAGTTTTTCTTTTTTTTTTATTATTAAATTTTAATCAGCTGACGGTATGAAATGATACAGAACAAAAAAAAAAGAAATTTGGGTTAAGAGAATGGTGACCTGTTATTGGATTGTGGACTGGAACATCAAGAACTGGACATTTATTGTTTCAGGTTACTTCATCTTCAGCGAATAAATTAATTTTTACCTCTTATTTATCATATCTAGATACAGTTGCACCAATTACGCTTGTGCCACAATCAAAAACCTATCTGTTCAATCCAACTTCTCATGTTTTTCATTTTAATGGTATGTTACGGACCTTTTTTTTTAAATTGGCAAAACTTTAGTCATTCCTTGCTATATTAAATTTATTGTGACTGTCAGCATTTCATCTCTGATTTTGCCAATTTATGATTTTCTCATCTTTTCGCAGTCTGATTATGCTGATTTCAGGCGAATGTCATTTGGATGAGATAACTTTTAAAGCTGACAAGGGCGTCTTCTTGGAGGGGCGCGTAATGCCTGCAGTTGAAGGTGTTGAAATCCGATCATCACACAGCAAAGATCCGAATGTCATTCTTAAAGGAGTGACTGATTCGTCCGGTAAATACAGGTAGATTTTGCTCGAAATTATGAAGTTTTTGTCGTACTGTAATTACTTTATGAGAATTCAGGCCTTGAGGTACAAGACCAATTGATGGGGCTATGTCTCCTTCATTTACTTGGTTTTTTTTCTTCAACAAATTAGGAAATCTAATTTCTTTGGCCAAAATCGCAAGCTGAAAAATAGCCTTTGCAAAGATTATGACTCTTCAGATATGTGTGAATATTACTTATTTCAAAAAAAAAGTGTCTTTTTAATTGTAGACTGCAATTTTCATACGTTTTTTGTATCTATGCAATGCAGAAACGCATATTGTCGAGGGGTTGTCTGTGTGTATGTGTCTATGTGTTCGTCTGTACCGATTTTTTCATCTCGAAACCCAAAAAACCTATAGGGCTTAAACTTTGGAAACTTAATCTACATGCACGTACGGGCCTCGTTCCCAAAATGAATTCTCTTGCCGACGTGGTTCTCAAGTGTGGGCCCTTCAAGGTTTTTTACGGGTAAGTTGCTAATTCGGGCACCAGAAAAGCTAAAAAGTTAAGTTTTAAGGTGATGTGTCCTGACATTCTTGGAGGCTAGTCTCTATTCTTTTAGCTAAAAGCATCTGCAGGAAAAGCAGTGCCATTAGCGACAAAAACCTGTAGGGAACTATGCAGAAAACGCATCTTCACAGCGACAGTCGGTGCAGTGGACATTTATTTTTTTTTTTTTAATTAGGCTGTATTGGTTTGCAGGATGGGGCCAGTACGAAATATTGAAGATTTTGATATTATTGCGGAGAAAAATGGATATAAATTCGAGAAAACCGATGAACTTGGAGTGCTCCGAGCCATCAAGCTTTCACAGTTAATCGTTGTAGCGACAGATGTTGAAACTGGGAAGCCGCTTTCGAGTGTA